TGATCGGGGCAGGTAAGAGAGCAAGGGAGCCAGTGTCGAGCTGCAGGGAGCCGGCAGAAACCCCCTCTCAGCCCTCCCTCCACGGCAGGCAGCTGGGTGGCCGGGTGGGGGACCACAGTAGTGCTGTGCAAACTCTCCAAATGCTTCTCATGTGAGGGAGGATGCAGGAGTTTGGCACAGCTGAGCATATATTGCAGCCTTGCAGCCTGCAGGGTACAGTTGGAGCATCTGTCTTGAGCACTTCAGTTCCTCTCCCCTGCACCAGTAGGGCCAGGGCTGTAGGACCCGGGGAGGATGCTCCTTGCTACCTATATCCCTGTGTCCAGAGCCCAGTTATTTGGGTAACTATGGCAGCCCCATGCCCTGCCAGGAGGCCCTGTGCTGTGGGTACTGTCCAAACACTGGGTTCCACTCACCTACCTCTCTCCTTGCAGGGCACAACGGGCTGGTGGCAGTGAGTACCGAGAGCAGCGTGCTCTCTCCTCCATCCCCTGGGGGACAGCAGGGGACTGGGAGGGGTCTGTGCTGTGGGCAAGGACAGGTTTTGGTGGCCGTGTCCATGGGGCTGGGAGCTCCCACAGGCTCTTCCTGTTGAAGGGGGCACCATGTGCAAGAGGGTGCTTGGGTTGACAAGGACTCATCCCAGCTGGAGGGATGGGCAGTGTGATGTGCTTCCCGCAGGCTGCCTACCTGCAGCAGGCAGGGGTGCGCACGGTTGTGCTGGAGAAGCGCCACGTGCTGGGTGGTGCAGCTGTCACAGAGGAGATCGTGCCAGGTACCTCTCCATGCCCCTTGTTCCCCTGGCCCTGGCCAGCCCTGGGTGTGGGTGTGGGCACCCCCCACTACACCACATCTTACAGGGTTCAAGTTCTCCCGGGCATCGTACCTGCTCAGCTTGCTGCGACCACAGATCTACACTGAGCTGGAGCTTCAGGTACTGACATTCTCCCCTTACTGGGCTGCTGGCACCTCCTGACACGCAGGCAGGGTGACCCTGCTGCCAGGCTGTCCCCACAGCGTGTGTCCTGCGGCACAGACATCTCTGTCTTGCAGCGGCATGGTCTGAGGGTGCTCCCACGGAACCCCTACTCCTTCACTCCGCTGCTGGAGGACAGGAGCCCTCCTCGCTCCCTCCTGCTGGGACAAGATATGGCCCAGACCCAGCGGCAGATCGCTCAGTTCTCCCAGAAGGATGCCCAGGTACCACAGAGGCATGCACCCAGCATGGCAAAGCCCCAAGGGGCTGCCTGCTTCTGAGTGGAGTATCCATTGCACCCACCATGGTGCAGTCCTTTTTGTTCCCCCTCTGTCCCCTTTCAGGCTTACCCTGAGTATGAGGTGTTCATGGGGGGCTTGGTATCGGCTCTTGACCCACTGCTGGATGGCCCCCCCGTGGGTACCACTGCGTCTGGCTGCTCTAGGGAAGGGCTCCCTGCTCCAGCAGCTCAGGAACCTGCGAGCCCTGCGGCCCCTGCTGCAGGCAGGTACATCCGAGATGCCAGAGAACCCCTATGGCGAGGGGTGTTTGCTGACACTTGAGGTGGGCTATGCGGAGCCTCCTCAGGAGCTCCAGCTGGACTGGCAGCTACCTTGGTCCCACTGCCTGACCTCCAAACCCAGCTGCGCACCAGCAGCTAGCCATGGCACAGCCACGCAGGTCTCACACCACCTCTCTATCCCCAGGGCTGGCACTGGGGCGGCAGCTGCCCCGTTATTATGAGGTGCTCACAGCCCCCATCTCCAAGGTATGTGCTACTGGAAGCCATGTGGAGCCACCGCATGTCTCACTGCCTGCCTATAAGGGTGCTGTGTCAGCTCTTCACCCCAAGCCTCACGCGCTCTCTTTCTCCTATGCCAGATCCTGGATCAGTGGTTTGAGTCAGAGCCCCTGAAGGCAACTTTGGCTACTGATGCGGTGATTGGAGCTATGGCCAGCCCCCACACCCCTGGCAGTGGGTGAGGGTCCCTTCCCCCTGGGACTCATGGCTACACTGTGGCCTTCTGTGCTTGTTTCTGCTGCACCCCAGTACCCCATGTCCTGCCCTGCTGCCTCTCTGTCCTGCTGTCTGCTTGATCTTACTGGGGTGCCTCAGGGGTTGGGGCTGGGCAAGGGCCTACCCCCCATCCCTGCCATATGGCTCTCCTGAGTGGTCCCCACCTATCCCTTTGCTGTTTGGACACCTCTGTCCCCAGGTCAGGTCAAGTCCTGGCTGGTGGGTGTTCCCCGTAACTGAGTTGGCATAATCCCATCTGTGGGGGCTGTGCAGGGGATAGACCCATCCACTCAGCCAGCAGCTCACCTGAGGTCCTGCTACTGCAGGTATGTGCTGTTGCACCATGTCATGGGAGAGCTAGAGGGACGGCGAGGTGCCTGGGGCTACGTGGCAGGCGGGATGGGGGCCCTGTCCCAAGCCATCGCCCGTGCAGCGACTGCCCGGGGAGCCCACATCTTTGCTGAGAAGGTATGGGGTGTCCGGGAGAGGGGAGCTGCCTGGCCAGCCTGCAGACAGTGAGGTTGCTCTTGGTGAAGTCTTGTCCTCTCTGCCTGCCCAGGCAGTGTGCCATGTGCTGCTGGGCAGGGACAGACAGGTGCAGGGTGTTGCACTGCAGGACGGGACAGAGGTGAGGAGCAAACTGGTGCTGTCCAATGCCTCCCCCCAAATCACCTTCCTGGAACTCATTCCCCAGGTACATGGGGTTGGGCAGGGCTTGGCATGTCAGCATCCCCCTGTCCACACTGCCCCTCACAGCCACCCTCTGCACTGGCATCTCCCACCCCAGGAGCAGCTGCCAAAGGATTTTGTCCAGCGAATCCGGCAGGTTGACACACGTTCTCCCGTCACCAAGATCAATGGTAGGTTTCAGCAGGGACACCTCCACTGCCATCCCTGCTGGAGGGACACTGGTGCCAGGCTCAGCAAGAGGCTGCACCTTGCTTCCCCCATGCCCCCATCCTGCACCCAGTGGCGG